CGCTAATACGGCCCGCACCGCGATGATCGATATTGTGACGATATTGCTGGGCTTTGTGGTCGGCGCGAGCACCGACGCGGACCAGTTCCTCACCAAACAGTCATTGTTGATCTTCGGTCTCGGCGCGCTGTCGTTCGCCATCGCGACCGCGTCCGGCGTGCTCTTCGCGAAGTTCATGAACCTCTTCCTGCATCACAAGATCAACCCGTTGATCGGCGCGGCGGGAGTGTCGGCCGTGCCCGATTCGGCGCGCGTCGTCCAAGTGGTAGGCCACGAGTCCGACCCGAACAATCACCTGCTGATGCATGCGATGGCGCCGAACGTGGCGGGCGTCATCGGGTCAGCGATTGCGGCGGGCGTGCTATGGTCCGTCCTCACCAAGTAAGTAGCGTGCTGCTGCCGTCCCGCCGTGCGAGATGGAAGCGGCTTGCGACCCCCAATGCCGAGCCACCTGAGGCACGGAAGGGGTGATCCACTTTCGCGACCGGCTGGGCTCTCAACCAACCAAGGCTTTTGACCGTGGCGAAGAAAATCGATTTCATGTGCACCGCTTTCCGGGACGGCTTCCAGTCGGCCTATGGGGCACGAGTACAGACCGCCGACTTCCTGCCGGCGCTCGAGGCGGCCCGTGACGCGGGCCTCAATTACTTCGAGGCCGGTGGCGGCGCCCGGTTTCAATCGCTGTACTTCTACTGCCAAGAAGACGCGTTCGACATGATGGACGCGTTCCGGGCCACCGTCGGCCCCGACGCGAACCTGCAGACGCTTTCCCGCGGCGTGAACGTCGTGGGGCTCGAGTCCCAGTCGAGCGACGTCATCCGACTGCACGCCGAGCTCTTCAAGAAGCACGGCATGACAACGATTCGCAATTTCGATGCGTTGAACGACGTGCAGAACCTCGTCTACAGCGGGCGCTGCATCGTTGAGGCAGGCCTGAAGCACCAAGTGGTCGTCACGATGATGGAGCTGCCGCCCGGCTGTTTCGGCGCGCACGACGCCGACTTCTACGCCGGCGTGCTCCAACAGATCCTCGACGCCGAGATCCCCTACGACTCGGTCTGTTTCAAGGACGCCTCTGGCACGGCCGTGCCGTCCAAAGTCCACGAGACGATCAAGCGCGCCCGCAAGGTGCTGCCGGCCGACACGTACATCCATTTCCACACCCACGAAACGGCCGGCGTCAGCGTGCAGGCCTACATGGCCGCATTGGAGGCTGGCGCCGACGCCATCGACCTGTCGCTTGCGCCCTGCTCGGGAGGGACTTGCCAGCCCGACGTGCTGGTGATGTGGCACGCCCTTCGCGGCAGTCGCTTCGAGCTCGACGTCGATATCGACAAGGTCCGCGAAGCGGAGGGGGTCTTCAAGGATTGCATGAAGGACTATTTCCTTCCGCCCGAGGCGGTTGCCGTCGAACCCCTGATCCCCTGGAGTCCGATGCCGGGCGGCGCCCTAACGGCGAACACGCAGATGCTGCGGGATAACGGCGTCATGGACCGCTACCCGGAGATGATTCACGCCATGAGCGACGTCGTCCGCCGCGGCGGCTATGGCACTTCGGTTACGCCGGTCTCGCAGTTCTACTTCCAACAGGCGTTCAACAACGTCATGTTCGGAGCCTGGGAGAAGATCGCGGAGCCGTATGGGAAGATGGTCCTCGGCTATTTCGGAAAGACGCCGGTCCCACCGGACCCCAAGGTTATCGCCCTGGCGTCGGAGCAGTTGGGCATTGAGCCGACCTCCCGCCCACCGCTTGATCTGAACGACGCCGACCCCAACAAAGGCGTCGAACCGGCACGCAAGCTGCTCCAACAGCACGGGTTGGCGGAGACGGACGAGAATCTCTTCATCATCGCCACCTGCAAGGACAAAGGCCTCGCTTTCCTGAAGGGTGAGGCGACCCTCGGCATCCGCAAGATCGATAAGAAGGCCACTGGCGCGACGACGGTCGACCATCCGGGCGACTTCGCCCTCCGAATCGGCGGCAAGCGCTTTGACGTACGGGTGGATGGTCAGCGTGTGACGGTCGACGGACGCGTCTACGACGTTGACATGGTGGACAAGTCCGACGCGCCCGAGCCGGTCCCCTCTGAAGACGTGACGGAAGTCGCAGCACAGATGCCCGGAGTGGTGCTCCGAATCCTTGCGCATCCGGGCGACCAGGTCCGCGCCGGCGAGCCGATCCTCGTGCTCGAGGCGATGAAGATGGAGGTCCGTGTAAATGCGCCCCAAGACGGTGTGGTGCGTTCGATCGGGGTTGAGGTGGGGCAGCAAGTCGCCAATGGGCAGGCGTTGGCCACGCTTGGCTAGGCCCTCGGTACTTGTTGCAACTGTCGCCCGCTGCGATCGCTTGAGGCGAGGCGGATACAAAGCGATCGATCGACCGTGGGGTGAGGCTACGTCTACCGGGTGAGCGAAGGCGATTGGCGCGCATGCCTCCTTTTGGATTTCGCCGTCCAAGGCCTCGACAAACCGTTCGCTAGATCAGCGCAGGGACCGCTTCTGAGCGCCACCTTTTGCTTGCTGTTTACCTACATTCTTTTGCGCATTCGCACACGGGCGGACGCCGGCGAAGTGGTTATGTTGGCAGTTGGCGTCAAGCATTCGCGCTTCAACGGCACGAGTGGGGATGCCGGCTCTTCTTTCGATGGTCAATCGCGAAATCCGACTTCAATGCAAGCGACGTTAGGCGTTGCACGCAGTTATGAGATACCGGCCGCTAATTCACTGAGATCGCACGGCTGGCGATCCCTTCAACGAAGGTCTGACGGTGCAGGCGAAGTTGCGATCGAGAGCGGAGCCAAGCAGTTACTAGTCCCAAAAAACCAAGGTTGATGGCGAGACGGCAAGCTGTGTGTTCTGTCTTCGGTGAGCGATTTGTTCGCGTCGCCGACGGTATCGATGGCTGACGCGTCTATCGGAGAGGAAAACTGGGCGCCGAGGCGAGTTCTGAGTCGAATTGCCAGCGGTGCCATTTTTCCTCTAAATTAAGTTGACACTATGGTTTCACGGCGATAACGTTGCGAATAACCGGTAGGGGTGGCCGAATTCTACGCGCCCGTCGCCGAGTTTGCTCCTCCGATGTTTGTTCAAACTACGAAACGCTGCCAATAAAGTGACAGCGCCGCCACTTCTGCTCTGACCCTCAGAGGCCCGGCTCATGGGCGGAAGGCGTAGCGCTGACGCTTCCAACTTCAGCGACTGGATTCGGCTCGATGAATGGGCGCCGCAGGGCGCTCTTCAGCTTCTCCTTCTCATCCCGCGGCTTCTCTACGTTGATCTACACCTCTCCTCTGATGCAGCAGGGTTCAACTGATGAAAGCGACATCGGCTTTTCTGCTTTGCCTGGTCTTGTGCGCGACGGCTGCACAGGCCGTCATCATCGTGTCCGGAACGGACAGCGGCATCTATGACTCGTCCGGCGGGGCCGGGAGCATCGACTACACGCTCCAAGGGTCTGGCAACGCGCTCGTCTTCGGCACCTACATCGACAACACCTACACGCCCTCCGGCATCCAGTTCGGTGGGGCCACTGCCGACGGCTTCGTTCAGGACGGCCGGACGTCGCTCTTCTACTTCTACGACCCCGTCGATATGGGGTCGTTCTCCTTCAATGTGTCTGCCGGCAGCGCTAACTCGGCATACTTTGTTTACGAGTTGAGCAACGTCGATACGTCCTTCGCGCCCGACCTCGGGACGGGAAACTCGATCACTACAACGACCGATAATCGCTTCATCACCAACTTTATCGGCGTCAACAACGCCGATGGCTCGGCGCTCACCTCCACCGGCATCCAGTCCCTGTTCGGCGTGGGGAACGCCAATGGGGCGATCGGTGGCGGAGCGGTCGGCGCCGGCATCGCCGACGAACTCGCCACGGGCGTCGCCGGTTTGAAGTCCCTAACGTGGGACGGCTTCGGCGGCGGCTTCTCGCAGGGAGAGGTCTCCGCGGCGTTCGTCGGGTTGGCCGGCGGCCCGGTCTCGTGGGCGATCGACGGCGGCGGCGACTGGAGCCTCAACAGCAACTGGAACGGCGGCGCGCCGAGCAGCGGCGGCGAGGCTCTGTTGGGCAACATCCTCTCCACGCCGAACTCTCCCGCAACGATCAGTCTCGACGCTCCCGGCATCAACCTCAGCAAGCTGACGATCAGCAACCCCAACCGTTACGTCGTCACCGGACCCCAGACGCTGACGCTGAGCGGCGACGCCGAGATCTCGGTCGGTGGCGGCACGCACGAGATCGCCGCGACGATCACCGGGTCGTCGGGCTTATTGAAGAGCGGCGGCGACAACCTGATCCTCTCGGGCGTCAACACCTACACGGGCGGCACGACCATCCAGGGTGGTTCGCTGCAACTCGCCAACAGCGGCGCCGTGCCGGGCGATGTCACCATGGCAGCGGCCGGCGAGCTGCGCTTCATTGAAGGCTTCAACGGCGCGTTCGCCGGGAACATCACCGGCAGCGGCGCGGTTGTGCTCGACAACTCGATGACGACTGAGACCGTCACGTTCAACTCGGCCAAGTCGATCTCGGGCGCGGTCAACATCAACGGCGGCACGCTAGCCGTCAGCAACAGCGGCGCGTTGGGCACGGCGGACGGGACAGCGGCGACTTGGACACGGGTGAGTGGCGACGAACTAGGCGGCGTCGAGGACACCGGCAAGCTCGCCCTGACGGGCGGCGTCAATATTGCTAGTGAGTTCCTCGTCCTCGGGCCGCGGGCAAATGCGGCGATCGACGCGGTTCACCTGACGAGCAGCGGCGCGAACACCTGGGGTGGCAACATCAAGGGTGAGGCGACCGGCTCGCAGTACAACATCGAATCGACTTCTGGAACGCTCACGCTTAGCGGCACCCTCTCCGCTCCCGAAGGGGACGGCGGCGCGGTGGCCTACGTCTTCTCGGGCGCCGGAAACACCAACCTGACCGGCCGGATTACCGACGCCGAGACCAACGCCAGCGGCAACACCTTCGTCGGCGCCCCGAACGCCGAAGACAACGTTAGCGTGATCAAGCGCGGTTCCGGCACGCTGACGATCGGCACCGCCACCACGCTCCAAGCGGACTACTGGCAGGCCGGGACGGTCGTCGAGGGGGGCACGCTGGTGGTCCTCTCCAACGGCGCCAACGGCGGCGAGCTCTGGGGGCCCGTCGAGGTGCAGAGTGGCGCGGTCCTCGATGTCGATAACTTCTCGAGCTACTCGACGCAGGTCGATCAACTCATCTCGGGCGGCGGAACGATCCAGGCCCAGACCCTGGCTCTCTTCGACGACGCCCAGGTCAGCCCTGGCGATGGCGGGGTGGGTACGCTGACCGTGAACGGCAACGTCGTGATGAACGCCGGCGGCGGTGGCGGCGGCACGCTCCAGTTCGAACTGGGCGACACCACGGT